AGACGGTCCTTAATAGGGAGCTAAAGCAAATGCGAAGACGACAACGACGACGACGACGACATCTTCAAAAAAACAATAGATTTAATGATCAAAACAACAGATCTGCACGTGCATCACGCTTTTAGCACATTTTTTTGACGTCCACTGCTCGACTACGTCGTGAAACCTCCTAATTTGACGTTTTATGGAGGACGTAAACATACGACGACGAATTTTCCTTCCCCTTTTTGAACTTGAATAAAATCCTTAAGAATTTAACTCCAGGAAAAGTCGCCTACATTTGGCATATTGAGCGGGTCCAGATAGACGCGATTAAGTTTGGAAGAACGCAAATTCATTTTTTTAGCGACGTTTTCACTGCCGTCGTCGTCGTTGTCGTCTTTGCTTAAGGTCCCTGTTGTTGAAGAGTGCAAGCGAGATCTGCTGATGGTATCATCTCCTGATGGTGTTGTAAGGCAGATAGCACAATGGTTTGAGATTACCTGCGACACTCGCTGGAATGTTTACAACTTGCTTGTAAAGGTGAAGATGCCACAAAGGGTATGCGAATGTGCGAATGGTAATATTGACCCACAGCAACATTCACGTGAATGTATCTCAGTGCCTTGATAGGCTAGTTCAGTGCCAGACAGAGAAACTAAGTGCGTTTAAGTCTAAAAAGCAGTTGACCAAGGAGTTGAAACGATTCTGGGGATCTAGCGACTCTCTCTTGGTACTACAATGTAAACCAGAGCTAGATGCTTCGCATTTGCTTCTTGCAAAATCCATTATTGGGCAGCAGAGGATGTTCAGAGAGAAAGTAAGGCCAATAAGGTTGAGAATCAGCGCTGGTAATTCAGATTTCAAAGCAGCTGGAAGAAAGCGACGATCGAGGTGTTGGAAGACACTGTTTTGCCAGACGAAAGAATTAACTTTCTAAAGTCTGCAATGGCAAATCACGTAAAGTTCCGCATTAACCGCAACCCCGCTCTTCTGATCACTCGAAACTATTCAGAGAATTTCCATGCACAAGCAGCATTAGCAACTCTTCTCGAGAAGAACAACCCAAAGCCCCTTGAAGATACCATTCTTGCTATGTTAAGTTCAGCAGAAAAGGGAATGGAGATGGCGGCCACCCTTGCCAAGTCGTTTTAACTTATTCGTTCTACGCGAGCTCTAAAGGACAGTGAAGACAAAGCAATAAACTCCTTTATAGGGAAACTTGAGATTTTTGAAAATCCCTATGTCCAGCTCCTCCTGAGAATTACGGGAAGGAAAGATTTCAAAAGTCAAAAACTTTGTATTTCTTCAGAGTCTTCACCAGCTGATGTGCATAGGGCAACACTAATCCTGCATCTTTGCATAGTTCTAGCCTCTCATTTCAGAGGTCTTAAGCAGAAAAAGCTGACATTTATGTCGTAGTTTACTAGTCCTTTGACCTCAAGCAATACATACGTTCTGGCGTGTGGAGAGGGTTTTCAGCAGCCGTATGAGGTACATCGCAATTGCATCTTCTATGAAACATGATTTTCCCTTTGCTCCTGTAGAACATTCTTTGTTGCAGCAAGTGACAAAGTCTCCCAACTGCAATTCACTTTGAAAAGCTGAGAAAGTACCTAGCAAGAATACTGCTGCTGTTAAAGCCATACAGCCAGCTAAAGTTCCTGTCTGTCTCACATGTCCTCAAGATCTTTCAGTTCGCCTAGGGCAAATGGATCCAAGAGAATTCCGAGTTCTCCATTTGTTTGTTCATTCTGCACTTTACGGAGGCTACGAGATGGAGTTGTTTGATCAAAATAGTCTTGCTCAAATACTGGGCAATTCTGTTACGGAGAGTGATCATTGCGAAGTGTGTTTCCGGCAGATTGATAGTGACCTAAGAGCTGTATTGTATTATTGTATTTTATTTTTACTCCATCCTATAATACATTAGTTGTACAATAATACAATAGTTGTACAATATCAATGATACATTAGTTGTACAATATCAATTGGTACAAAGTTGCTTAAACTACGTGTACATAATAATGATAATAAAAGAAGAAAATTTGAATGGAGAAGGACACATTATAGTAAGACTAATCATGGCCCTTTAACAAGATTGACTTTATTCTTTTGTAGTTTTGTTATTCATTAGAAACACAAACACGCACGCACGCACACACACACGCACACAAGTCAATATTGAGCAAGATAATATTTTTTAAGTGCCTCTTTGAACAGCATTTTCGATGATTTATTGCGAATAGAAAGGGGGAGATCGTTCCAATAGTATTTTCCAATGACGGTAGGGCAAAACTTTCGAATATTAATTCTTGAGTGGGGAATGTGTAATTGCTGAGCAGATGCACTTCGTGTAAAATAATCATGTTGCTCAGATACAAGAAATAATGGAAAATTACACGGCTTATTATCAGAGACATAATCATATAAAAACAAACAATTGTAAATTTTAACAATATCCCGAAATTTTAATAAACCTAGATGAGCATAATGAGGAGTGAAATGATCTCGTAAAGGAACGTCATTCATTATTCTAACTGCTTTATTTTGTAGACGTTTGAGCTGTGATAATGGATTATCATAATTATTTCCCCACAATAAGCAACCATATATGAGATATGGGTAAACAAGAGAATAGTAAATACTAGTTAAACATTGATTTCCTAGATAACTTTTTATCTTTGTCATAATATTAATACTCTTACTGAGGCCCTGCCAGGGGGGGCTCCCATGTCGCTGGTCTGAATTTTAAAACCTCTCGTGTCGGTGTTTACTAATGCTTCACGTCGCTGTCGGAAATTGAACGAAAATTCTTTGTCTTTGTCGGAAATTTAGAAAAGGGGGGTAGCGATGTGTTGTAAAGAAACCATTACAGTTGTACAATTTCTCAGTTAACCTTTCGCGTATAGAACACCGATACATCGCCATTCACAATTAAGGGTGTGTTCCTTTCGGTGAATCCAAAAACGGATTTTCGATCTTAAAACGGATTTCGCGTTCCTTTCGGCAAATCCAAATTCGGATTTTTGATCTGGTGAATCCTTTTTGAAAAAAGATTCACATTGGATTTGAAATCCGAAGAATCCGAATCCAGATTAACGGATTAGTGATCTACGCTGTTCCATTCACAGTGGATTCGAAATTAGTCAGATGATCCAGCTGTATTTCCCGTAGAACCTTTCCTAATTGCTGCCATTTGCCGTAAAACATCTGAAAACACTAGAAGATTGTTCAAAGTGGTACAGTAAAATATCCATGTGCTGACCATTTGTCGCTAAAAGGGACAAATAACAGCTATCTTTCTACAAACTCGCTTGTGGACGCGATAGGCACTCGACCGTGTTACATAAAAACCGAGCTACGAAACTGGATCAAACTGAGCCGACAACCTTTAGATAATTTTCAACTTTAACGCTCTCCTTTCTTGATCTGTTCAATATGTTCCATCGTCGTTATTCGAACTGCCGACCACAAAATTCTGCACGGTATAATCGCATAATTTGTCAAACAGTGCAAAAAAAAGGCATTTCTTGAGAGGCTGAGGCTGTCATGCATATTGCACGCGTTTGCAAAAAGGTTACCAAGGTAACAAATCCAATTTTGGATTTAACGTTCCTTTCGACCGTGAAATCCGACAAATCTCGGATCAGAAATCCGTTGTTGGATTCCCTTAAAGGAATACTGTCAACACACCCTAAGTGATCCACGTTCAACATTTTAAGACTAACTGACGTGAAGACCGGTTAACGGTGGTCTACTCTGTGAGAGCGATTGGAAGTTCGGTGATTAAGTTACCTGGTCCATGGTCTCTCCACCGTCATCACCGTCCGACACAGGGCGACAAGGATGTGAGAAGTTCGGGAACAAGCAAAGTATTCACCATTTTCACATAGACCATAATGCACCTTGTTTACCCCCCAAAAACTTTGCATAACCATTGTTTTCGATTTCTCTTGGGACGACTGTAATACCCTGGAGAATTTGGAAACAATGGTTATGCAAAATTCTGATTGGGAAAACAAGGTACATTATAGTCTATATGAGAGTAGTGATTACAAGAGATGTAAAGCGTGCGTAAAGTTTCGTAAAGTTAAGCTATTTGACGGACAACCTAGTTCCAAGGTCTCCAAGGAGTTATGCGGGGTTGCGTAAATGAAGACTACGCGACGGGCCAACGCGACGCGTTCAGGAGGGTCCACTGAAACTCCCTGACGAGAGACAATCTCTGAAGCGCAAGGAAAATTAACGAAAATAACTTCTTATTGGCATTCAGACTGGTGATAAATTAGCTAAACCACCGTTCTTTGTCGCATATTCTCGGCTTTGCTGTCACTGTCGCAATTTGACCAAGGCCGGGTTGTCGCTTGTCGGGATTTCATTTTAGGCTCTGTCGCTACTTTTTGGGCCATGTCGCTTGTCGGAATTTACCCTGGCAGGGCCTCCTTACTGACTTTATCACAAACATAGTCGATATGGTCATGCTAGGATAGGTGGCTGTCAATATAGATACCTAAGTATTTAATTTTGGATACTTGCTCTAAGCGTTGGCCAGCTATCGATAGCGGAGGTAATAAATTATAATCTACTTTCTGACGAGGTTGAAAGATAAGATATTTAGTTTTTCTTAGATTTAAGGTTAATTTATTTGCACATAGCCAGTCATAAATATTAGGTAGTTCTTTATTTATCTTTAATAAGACCTAAGAGCTAATGAAGAATATGTCATATATGTACTAAAGTACTTCCATCCTTACTTCGGCAGGTTTATGTCAAACAGAAGAAGAATGGTTGGCATGGGAAAAAAAGTTTGCTGAAACTATGCGCCCTTTACTTCGAGAGTTTTACCTAAGAAAAGTGGTGGCAAGTTCGCAAGACCTCATGAGCACATCTCTAATGGCTGTTCGAAGGAGTGTAGAGGAAATTGATGACCCCCAGTTTTCAGACACGGCAGAGAGAAACCTGCACCTTCCTAGGTTGTTGCGTGTAACTCTGCCTAAAACTTTCACGTCCCTCAGAGTGTGTTATTTGTCAGCTGATCAGGATACTAAGAACCAACATCCCCTTTTTGGGTTATTTCTTGATTTTAACGACTCTCTTCCAAATGTCGCAAGCCTCCACAATCTCCTTTGCTGGAGTGGTATCGTAGACTCACTTTTAAGTGGACGTCTGAGTCGCCACGAAGCCACTACAAATATTGGAGATATCATTCGAAAAGAATCCAAATCTTCTGAGGAGAGAAAGCGATTAAGTGAGATCTTCGAGAAGTTCAGCATGGCATGGGAGAGGATGCGTCCTTTTGTCAGGGACCGTTTAAAACAGGATGTGCCATACTTAAACGAAAGCTCACCGATTTCTTTTTGCTTGATTGAGAAAAGAGGCCAGGGTGCCTTTCTTTGTGCTGCTATGGAAATACTTGGGGAGATCCAGAATGATTTCTTGCAGAAGATGCTCAGTATTGCATCAACAGGAAAATGTTCTGCGCTAGTCTTTCTGGAGAAAGAAGAAGGAAAATTCAGTATTCCAGTTGTCCACTTACAGGAAGCCCGGGAAAAAGAAATTATCCAGTATCAATGGACAGATGAAATTTTAAGGCATTCTCAACGTAGCACCGAGTACGGCCATGGCAGGGAGATCTTTTTTGATCTTGAGAAGATTGAAAAAGAGATGGCAGTCAGATTCTTGGCGGGAAAGTCTTACCTTTCAACTCGCGAGGGATTACAAGAGTTCCATTTCGCCGGAGAGCTCTTTCATACTTGTGGAGACATTCTGGACGACTTACAAGAACTGATTCCGCAGCAACCACTCACAGATGTGTTTCGAAATAGTCTTTCGCATCAATATGAACAGAGTCTGAAGAACGTACAAGATTTGCTTGAGCACGTGGAAATTGTCCTTTGCCTGTTAAAAAGACATCGCGTTGGGAAACCAAAGGACCCTTTGACAGAATTCACAGACAAGTGGGTGCGTGGACCAAGGCCGTTTCCCAAAGGATTTACTCCCTCAGCCCCACAGCGCCATCCAGCTCACACATGTAGTTGCCTTGTACGAGTTTCTCGAAGACATGTTGGCTGAATCGGCTGCCAAACGAGTTCACGACAGGTATCGTGTTCCCATACCTGAAGAGATAGCTAACGAAATGACCAAGGGAACCCCCACGTCTGGAGCAACCGAGTCACATCGTTCTGTTCTAAATGCCATCGCAGTAGCGCTCAAACGCTTCATTTATCGTTATCTTTCTTCTGAGGAGATGAAACCTGAACCAGCTGAGAGTCTGAAGGAGTGCATGCAGGAGCGGTCGCTTTGGCCAATCGATGCATTCAAGGTGTGGAACCCGGAAGTGGAATCTCCGTCAGTATTCATCGGTGACGTGTTTCCCGAAAAGCTTGCCATAAAACATACGTACCAAGTTTTATGCTTTTACCAGGATCGACTTGAAGTAAGTGATGAAAAATATACTCACCCCCATTTTGCAATAGTTTTCTCCTCAACACAATTTAAAGCTGAAATTCTGTGGACCCCTCCCCCTCCCCCAAAGAAAAGTTGAAGATTTTTATCTCTGACGTATCCTGCCTCTCGACTGCTGAGACCCTAGTTCCTTTTATTCTTGACAATATGTCAAAGAGTTTTTCTTTGGGTTTCGCATCTCTCGTCATTGTTATAGGTCACTCGTAGTATCATGCGACGTTTTGTCGACTATGACCCTTCCAACCCCCTTCCTTTCCAGGGGTATAGGTAAACAAACAGGCAAACGCTTTATCCATTGGCAATCTTGGTCTATTTGAAAGATTCTGGGTCAGTTATTTAAACAGAGTTTAGCCCGTGTTTAACAAAACCGCGTTCTAGGCCATTTTCAGTTTGCCCAACGCTTTTATCTAAACATCACTTATCGTGAACAATATCAATATAGCATGTAGGGTAGGGAAAGAGATCTGGAGGTCCAATGTTTTATTAAACCGCGGGCCTAAGTTAGACTTCGTTTAAATAACCGACCCTCTGTATCTTAACTGCGCGTGACTTTCCTTTTCTCAACACATCATAAGCAAATTCAACGCAGCTAATCAGAAGGAGCACCTCCCTAACCGCTCTTAAATTGAAGACATTTAAAACTGAAATCTGGCCATACGGTACTTTTGAGTCTGATGATCGCCTAGTAGTTGAAAACCCGAGTTACAATAACTTTTATCCTTAAATTTGTATTGTATAGGCATGTATTTTCTATATGTTGTGTTTTTCACTTTGTTATTTGTTAGGTGTTAGAAGAGGAAAAACACGTTCCTCGGAATCCAACTCCCAAGATCAGCGGTCCCAGTGCTTCAAGACCCCGTCAGCATAAAAATCGAAGGCTCTTCAGCAAAGTCTGAGGTGGACAGTAAATACTCTGTGAGTGATATATCCATTTTTTGCAGATCAGTAAGGTTTAGCACAGAATTCCACTAAGGCAATGAATCCAACATTCTGGGGCGGTTCTAGAGATAGTTCCTAAGCTCAAACTGTGGATGTCTAAAACTTGCAAATAAGACAAAAATCTAGTGAGAGAACACTACGCGAAAATTCGCCACACTTTCAGTAAGTAAAAGACTTTGATTTTCCCCTCACAATACTGGAAACCACATTTCTAAGGGCTAATAATTTATAATTTTCCTGGTAGCATACCCACGTATCCTCCTCGATACTCCCACTTTCAGCGATTATTTTTTCGAACCTCTTCAAAATCAACCCTAGAACCACCTCAGACATTGCTGTCTTAAAATGTTTTCACTCGTTGACTTTATGTTTTATCATTGTTTTGTACGGTTATCGTAAATCTTTTTGAAAAATTCAGTCGCTCGAATCGGCGCGCTTACACTTTCCCTAAATTTAAAAAATCACTCCGCCCTTGACCCATTCCTCCCTACCCACTCGGCCTTTGTACGAGCACTTTTCGCAAAAGTAATCCTCCGTTTCTGACCAGTAGACGCACTCGTTTGTGTGAGATCTTTTAAATAAGACCAATCAAAATGTTTTATGTGAAGATATGAAAAACACTGCATAATCGCCTTCACCTTGTCCTGTGTAAGGCTGTTTACAGCCTGTCTATAGCCCCAACGCAAAAACGAATTAAAGCTACAAAAAGGCCGGGGAGGCGAACACGACCAGGACGGAGGGGTCGTCGTCAGGGAAATCATTCCCTCTTAAAAGAAACCCTTCTTGTCTGGTTGGGCCTTCGTGAAAATGCGAAAAATAGAGACTTTTAGGGTGCTTATTCGTTGATTTACGGTGGTAGGAATAGTATAGGTTGCTTTTCAGAAACACTTTTTGCTTTATTAAATCGGATAGCACTTGATCAACTCTGTTTTTTGGGAAATGTTGTTTGCTATTGTTGTCAATAAAACAAGAACGACCCTCTAGCTCCCACTTTCCACTTGCAAATCTGATTAGATTTCTCATAATATGTTTCCCGATCTTGAAAATCAGATGTCCCGTGAGCAGGCTTTTAATAAGACGTCACTGCAGGTGTATCATTTCGATCACAGTATAGACTGTCATCCCGCCGGAGCCGAGAAGGTTGCCTTTTTCGTGTACAAGTGAAGATTTTAGAAGACTAGAGGGAGAGATCCCTTACTGGAGTGATCGCGCAGAGCATTGTTTAGGGAACAAATATCATTAAGAACAAGATTTCGTAATTGCAAATTAATAGTTACCTTCTTGAAGAGTTCAAAAGCCTTTTCCAGTAGTGTTAAGGAACAAAATGTAGTCTTACCATAGTAGAGGAGAATGGCTATGAAAGGTAGAAAGCATCAAAGATGAAAACAACAGTGCTGTAGTTCATGTTGGGATCTTCCTGACGGTGCGCAATCTGTTTTTTTTTCTGTTCATAAATTGTGACGAAATAAATGATTGCCACGTTTATATTTGTCAGTGAGATCAAAATGAGTTTGATTCTCTTCATAACCATTCCACTGTACTACCTATAGTCTTAACGATAATATTTTGGGGTTTTAAAAGCCTTGTAAATAGCGTAAAGTTGACCAGTCTTTTCCATTACCAACAGGATTCGTGGCCGATCGATATTTAAGTACGATATACGCCAACAATATACATGTTACTATTTATCTTTAAGTGATGTTTCAGTGTTAGCCTTGCGTTAATTTTTAGGCATTTGCAAATCCTACTTTGGCCAGCCAATTTTACGGTTGGCTTTGCACATTATATCAGAGTGGTGGCAAATTATTCGTTTGTTTTCATTAAAGTTTATCCTCGGTGCCTAGTTTCAGGGTAAAGTTCTTTTGAATTTGGCAGATTCAATCATTTTGAATTAAGGTGTATGCTTTGGCCTTCCCAGCATTATCCTTAACATTTGTTACATATTCAGTTTAAACTAGAAGTTGAGCATTAATTTTGATTAAACGATGTAGTCCAGTGGAGTGAGATGGTCGATTATGTTTGTTTGTATGTCAGATTTGGGTTTAGTTGACCACAGAAATGAGCCGATTTGCGAACTCAAACCTTTGCCATCGTTTTAAATAGAGTCCGATCTCTGGAAACGTACTTCGTCCCAAAAGCTTTCTGAACTATAGCATTCCGGTTGGGGGCAGGGCCAAAGCAAAACCCTCAAGCTAAAGAATGGGGCCATGGTGAAAACGGGAACCTGTTCATTAAATGTCGAGAAAGAGGCCCTTGGTTCGATTTGACTCTTTCTTGTCGCTGCCGGCAGGTGTTGGACTATATAATTGCTGATCCCCTTGAAATCCCTCACGGTGGCGAGTTGGAATCCCGCGGGGTACCAGTCTGTTCTTGGCGTTCAGATAGTGGAGCGCGGGCGCGGAAAATTGACGAGGGAAAAAAACAAGGGGAGACTACTGCCGCGTACGATTTAACTCTCTCCCCACCATCCGAACGCTGCGCCCCACTTTCTGAACGTTGGAACAGGTTGGCGAGGATTTCCTTGAACTTTACTTTGGAGTGTGTCGCTGAGTCTTTGAGACTCCGTGCCGCTGTCTCAGTCAGAGATGAATTTGCGACTCTGCTCCAGACACTACTTGTAGAAATAGAAATCTTTGTTTCACGGCAACGAGCAAGAAAAACAAAAGAAGAAAGGAAAAAAACAAAACAAAAAAAACAACAACAACAACAACAACAACAAAACAAAAAAAAAAGAAGAAAAGAAACTAAGAAAGAAAGAAAGAAAAGAAACCAAAGCTTGATTTAGAATAATAAGGGGATTATGGTGGGTAATCGAACCTGCCCCAATATCAAGCCAGAGTAAACTAAAATATATCCCTCTTCCAGAATTACCATAGCCTGTTGAGGGGGTAACCCACTCCCACCGCCAGGGATAATCAACCCTAGCCTGCGAAAACATCCTTTTCTCCTCGCTCTTCGTCGCTGCGTGAAACGTCCTCAGCGACGAAGAGCGAGGAGAAACGGATGTTTTCGCAGGCTAAATCAACCCTGGGCTAATCGCCTTTCAAGTGCCTAGGCAGGTCTGGAAATCATAAGCAGTGGCTAAACAAAAGCAACGTTTACAATGGCTTATAAAACGAGGAAATTTATTTGAATACCATCCCTAGCATTAGTTTCCGTCATTTTACCCGATAGTCATTATGTCTTTAGGTGAAAAAATCAAATGGTAATTAACTTTATTATCAAAACGCCCGTTTAACAGCGCAAACTAACGAAATAATGAAAACCAACAAATTTTACCACTTCACGAAGAGAGCTGAATGCCCTTGCTGCACATGAATCACCTCAATTTGTCACTGATTCATGAACAGGCTTAAACTTCAAAACGTTAATTGAAAAACGTGGCCAACTCTTCCAAACAGTTTAAGTTCGGAAGTAAAAATTGCGATATGATCATCACATACGTATCAGTCATGTATTTCTCATCTGGTTTCTTGTCAAAATACGAAAATTGTCGTCCTGATTCTGTTCCCTTTCTGATGTCCATTTCCCACTTCGGTTGTTAACTAAGTCCATAAAAGAACGACAACTGTATGAAGTTCCACTTAGCGAAACTCTTCAGATTTTCAGTATATAACCAAGCCGTCTTTGAGTGTTGATTTTGTTTTCTTTTTTTCAATCTTTGTTTTTTTTTATCTTGACCAACCAAAAGCTAGCGAGAAAGCTAAATTACATTCCAGTCAACATGAAATTCAGCAGACACTTACGGTACGTTTCTATAGGAAAACCCAACATTAAATTATTTGGGTTCGTTACGACAAAAGAAAGGGAAAAATTCGAAAATAGATTCTTCGATGCACCCTAATTCGTCATTCTCTTAAGAGCCATTTTCTGAGAAAATCGAGAATCGCAAGACACTCGTCAAAAAATCGAATTTTTTATTATTTTGCCAAAACATCCCTTTTAGTGACCTTATTTAAGGAAAAATAGTTTTGGGTTCAAACGATTCATTTTAAAGAAGAAATTAAAAAAAAGTTTGAAAAATCGATTTTATTCCTGTTTTTTGAACAAAACACGGCAGGATGCAATGGCAACTTCGAGAGAAGGGTGAACGCGTAAGAAACATTCCCTGACATTGAAACTTCACCGAATTATTATTTTGTTCTTACTCTTGAAAACCTTAGAACAAAATTTGAAAAACAATGTCTTATATTTTTATAATCGACAAGTCTAAAGAGGTCATATTTGTGACGTTAGACATGCTAGAAAACAAAGGCCAACTTTGACCATTAAAAAAGGCCTCTGGTATATGCCGCTTGATCATAAAATCAATATAAAATGGAACCTTGGCTTTTGCACCAACTTACTGGAAAGTTTTAGCTCTGGAAATCAAATACCCTCCTGACACCAAAGCAAGCGGTGAGAGCAATTGAATTAGGAAATTTATGCAAATTAGACGGCTTGCGGACGGTTGTCAAACTAAAAGAAAGGTTTTACATGAAAGGATTACTCACCATTGCTTGTAACACGTTTTTACGGCAAGGAAAGTTATTTCCAACTTCTGTTGCGTCGGTTTGAGTCACAAAATCCATAATTTTAAGCCAAAAGGTCCAAAAGACAAACGTACGTTTGCTCAGCGACTGCGCCAGAATCCGGCCGTGAATCGAAATAAAGTCACAACACGTCACTGCGGTCCTTTAGAAGCAAGAGTTGCTAGAGTTTTTACTTCGGTCAGGAGGCCAAAAGATTGAAAATTCATCGCAAACTAATGACTTCGATTTTGAAAACCTTTCATCCCTTCAATCGTTCGTCGGCTGATAATAAACATCGCACAAGTTCGTATGACCTTTGGCGTGTGACCGGAAATCGGTGACACGCTTAAGTCACGTTAGCATACTGTCACGAATTTTAATACGATTTTTCACGTTTGCTGTCGACAAAAAATAGACTCATGGAAATAAAATCAGGCCTGCTTTATTTGTTTGTTTTTTTAATTTCTTTTATAGCCTGCAGAACTTGTTCCCAATGCATCGCGCGTGTCTCGCGCCCCCAGTCCGCTTCGCAGTGCTAGCGTGAAAAGCGCAAAAAACTGAAATTGACTCCTGTTCTGCATTTGATTTCTTTTATAGACACCTTCTAGGTATTCACAGGCTGTGAAAAAAGTGTATTTTTTATTATTGTTATTTTTTGAAGTGCTACATCATTTTCCTATAAATTTCAAACGTGACTGCTAAAAGACTGTTTGGAACCCATGGATGGAGAAAAGCTGTGCCGGAGAAAAGGTCAACCTCCCAGCCGAGCCAACTTTTGCGAGCGTTTATATAAGGAAAAAACTGACCACTTTGTCCGAGTCAACAGTGCTTGCGCATGCTGTCTTTGTCTAGCCTTGACCGTGTTGTCCCAGCTAGCTGGGCGAGCCAAAGTGGAGAAATATTAGCCGGGCTAGAAGGGTGAGGCCACCACTACCGGCTCAGTGGAGGGCTGACTTCCGGAAGCCCTCAACCCCGCCCACTACTGGTAGTAAGGCGTCTATCCGAACCAACCTTTTGTTTCTCATGTAAATGGTTTACCAAGTTTTGTAAGGAAATGGAGGGAAAGTTGGCTCGCCCAGGGTAGCTTGGGAGGTGAGTAAACACCAGATAACCCCAATAATAAGCACAAACTTTGATTGTCAGTTAGATGTCAGGAGTCCCCTGTTAGATGTCCACTATTTTAAGTAAGCGACCTGGCATGTGATTGTCGCATCCATGCCCCCTTCCAGATCCCCTTTATTATCGGTAAGCCTCTGATAGATCAAAGTAATACAGTCGTACCTCCAGTAAGCGACCACCAAAAATGCAAGACTTAGTGGTCTCTAACGGGAGGTGGCCGTTTAGAAGAATCGGACCACATTGGGTCTATTCCGAGAAGAGGTCCAGGCACATTCTATTAAATGGCGGTGTAACAAATTCCTGGCAAAATATTATCTTTTACCTCTTTTGACAAATACAGCTTTAAAATCATGCTAAATTTAAAGAGGGATTCAGGTGAGTGAGATATAAAATAGTCTAGAATCACAACAGAATCTTCACTTTGTTGGCTAAGTTAGGATATGTGTAGTTCCACGATGTCACTAAAGGTCTTCATATTTTCTAAGGAACATGGTGCACTCGGCAAAAATTGAGAGCAGAGAATGCGTCAACTGGTCGCTTATGGAAAACAATTAACCGTGACGCCCAAAAAGTGGTCACAGTCACTTACAGAAGGTGGTCGTTCACTGGAGCTTTGACTGGGAAAATTTGGTCTTTTGGATTGGCGGTCGCACATGGAGGTTCGACTGTGTTAGGTCTATTAGAGTATAAACCACCATCACCTCACTGTGAGTGACGAGAGCCAGCAAAGTATAGTATACACTCCCTTAGGATACACAGAATCGTTGTTTTGAGGTCCCGTTTAGCGAAATGGATCATTCAAGGGAGGTGCTGAAGTCCCATAGTGAAATTTATAAGGTTTATGGGTTTTTAGTGCAAGGCAAAACACAATACTTAGGGCCCTGTTGTTCAAACGTTGGTTAGCGCTACCCACCGGAAATCACTATCAAGCGAATAAGAAGAAGCAATTGAGTTACTTATTGGATATAGATTTATCCAGGGGAAAGCGTTAGTCCCGGGGGCGTTAGTCAATTTTTCGAACATACAGCCTCTGAGTCACTCTCCTCCGCAGACTTACCCTTGGCGACAAGGATAGGGGAATATAATACTCGACCTTCCTTGCATCATCGCGAGAGCCTATAGCCTTCACTTTCTTTTGGCTCGTCCTACAATCCTACCCAACGTTCGTGGGACAGGAAAGTCTGCGTGCGAGGCTTGGGAATCTAGGGAGACTATGGTAGCATAGTGCAAATAGCCGGGATGAGCTACTTTGTCCACACGAACCAAGAGGATTAATATTGGGTCTGCTAGAAGAAATCAGGTGTAGCTTTCTGTGATAACTAATATTCCAACAGTATAGGATCATAGTTTGAAGCGATTTCACAATCACTAGTTTCAGCGCACGTCTGCCGGCGAGTTGTGGACAAAAGCAGCTGATAGCTGTATGCGAACCTTTTTTTCACAAAATGGTTTCTGGGTTTTCGTATTCGACAGTGTCATGTATTGATTTTTTTTTAATCTTAATGGAGGTCTTTTTTATTATGTACTGTCTATCTGACTGACTGTTTCTTTGTGTTTTTTTTTTTCTGGTAATAACAGGTTTCATAATTTGGTCGCGGTTGGGGTTCTAGGCTCCTGATCGTGAGCAAATAGCGAAAAAATCAACAAGCAAAACCAAAGTAAACTATAGCGTTGAATCCGTTGGCCACGGAGAATTGGTATTATTCTGCAAGTTCTTTACTACAGTAAGAGAGTATACTCCCTTGACTATGGAACATTGGGCCGGGGGAACTTAGTATTTTGACCCGGCATAGGGGAGGAGGAGAGGGGGAGGGGGTACTCTGGCCAGATTCCAAGTCACGGGGATGATCGAAGTATGTTTTTTTTTCTTGGTTTGAAAATATTTTGCACAATTTTTTTTTAGCTGTGGCTTTACTTAAGTATTCAAAATATTCGTTCTTTTTGGTCTTAATTTTCGCTTCCACGGATCACTCAAGAATCACACTTGGAATCACCACGGATCACACTTGGAATCCGAGGTACCCCTCCTGTCAGGAGCCCCTGCTAGTAGGTAAATAAAAGAAAAATAAATATGCATGGCTGTTTCTACTGCGATGAGAGGATTTCTTGTCAAAAAATGTGAAAACTGTATTAAAATTGCTGACAACAGCTACGAAAATTTCGTGACAGCATGCTGCGTGTGACCAATTTCCGGTCACACGCCAAAGGTCATATAGCCTGTGTACAGCCGCCCCTCACCTCAAAAAAATCGGAAAGGAGCGTCTGTGATTTACCGTTGATAATCGTGTTCAAAGACCACGTGACTTTTTCAGGAATGTGTGGAAAATGATTTGATTGGTTAGTTCCCATACTTCATTACATCACTGAAATAGCGAGATTTGATTGGCTTTCATTTTCGCGCGCTTTGCATTTTCGCGCTCTTTGCAATCGGAGCCTTCCGTACAGAATCTTTCACTTTCGTTCGCGACAATAATATGATGTGAGATTTTGACGATGAGTTCGTGCGTTCTTTGTGGCGTAGAGATCGTAAAAAACACGGATAAAAATCTTGTTGATGGTCGAAGGGGCAATTCTTTTAAAGTTCGAGAGGAACTGCTGTCTTTGAAGTGTAAAGTCGAAATCAATTCCACGTACATTTGTAGGAATTGTCTTTGCGCGCTGAAGAAACGAAGGGCGCTCTTCAACAATCTTCACGAAGTGAATAGCTCAATTCAGAAAATTGTCCAGTCGAAGAAGTGTTCCGCTGTTCCATTACCAGTCCCAAAGCCTTCCTCAAACCAGATCAGCGACTCCCAAGAGCAAGCTACAAAGCGTGTTGCCTTAGAGGATTTTAGAGCGTCCGTGACGTCTGTGGATATCGAAGAAGATAACAGCACGTTGCCAAATAAAACATCGGTAGATCCTTGGCCAAGTATTCTCACGTCAACACCTTGTAAGGAGAAAAAATCGTCCTGTCGCCTTTGCTGCGTTAGTTGGACCTGTTTCGCCAATTCCTGCTCGTGAACCCGAGGAAAAGAAGACTCGTGTGCAAGTCACTGTCGAATGGCCCAGCCGAACAAAAGTGAATACTCTTCACGAAGGATTAGAGTCACTCGGCAAGATGCTTTGTCGCGGAACATACAAGCAAATTGCTGGAGCCGTATGGAAGAATCCAATTTTAAGGAAATATATGCAGCAGTTGTACCTGGAGGAGGTCGATCGTGAGTGTACTGCGATGTGTTCATTAAAGAATCCAAGCTGTCTGAGATCGCCCAGCAAGAAAGACCTCCAGCGCTTTTCGTTCAAGAAATTCAACAGCGAACTTGAATCGAAAGCACCATTGTTTAGTGCGGTACTGTGGACTGCAAGTGTGAGAAAAAGCAAAAGAGACGATGAATTCTGGCTGCCATCTGTGTCTATGTCCGCGGCTGTCTTGCTGAAGAACAGATCTCCGTGTATGAATGCAATGCAACTGATAAACACCATCATTTTGTATCACTCGGGGATAACTGTGAGTAATTTTTTTTAATCAGTTTCTACAAGATGTTTTCCTGGCATTCTATTTGTCCAAACCTATTATAACGTACTGATGACAACGATAATGTTTTTGGTAGTGCTAAGCCATGAAGAATTTGGTATGAGCTGATACCCAAACTGCAAAGCTCTCTTCCTAGTATTCAATTGAATATTTTTCACTTGATCATTAATGGATCGGACGGGGAAAGTCACTTAAATTCCCTACCTTCTGACGTCTGCATAATGTTAAATGTTGCATCCTTGGTCTTTGCACCGGCTATTTGTGCGTGTGTCATTAGCTCCAAAATTTGTTGTTGAAATTATTATGCTGGATTTAAAACCAATTTAAGATAATGTTAATTACTACTGTCTTTTGTTGATCTCACTCTCAGACTTTGTTACCTCTTATTTCTAGCAAAATTACAACTCTTTCGTTTAAGTTTGTATGTACATTAATAACTTCGAATTTATGACTGTCAACTTCAAATGTGGTTGCTGCCTTTCAATAAATTAAAGAAAACATAATTTTATGAATTTTTATGAAAGTGAGGATTTTTATGAAAGTAAGTGTATTATGAATGAGATGTTCCCTGTGTAAATAATTTGTGAATAAATGCCATTTTCCCTCAAAATATATACATGTACATCATAAGAATAAGATTTATCTGTTTTTTGACATGTCCTACCCTGCTGTACAGACAATTATAATTCCAAAGTTCGTGAGAAAATGAAGGTAGCAAATGTTAATGCATTGAATAATAACATTACAACTGCCCTTTTATGATAAAATGTCTTATCATATACTAATTATTTATTTCAGGCTTCTCTTTGCCGACTGGGTTCCCTCAGAGTAACCACCGGACACTCATATTATTACCGAAAGCTGGATGAATTTGGGAAAGAATACGCTGCATCTGTTGAGAAGAAGGTAAAAGATGAGACTGCACGACTTCAGAAACATCACCAAGCACTGACTGAGACACCATCTGGCGCCAGTTCCCCTCCTCTAGTGACTGAAAGACAGTCTCAACAGTCAACTGTAATTACTGCTGACAAAGGAAGAAAGTTGGTGTTCGATAACTTCGACTTCAAGCAGCAAGTTCACAGTATGACTGAACAGCATCAAAATATAGATGTCCACTGGGTTTACACACTTGTCAGTGGAAAATCGTGTCTCAGGAAACCACTTGTCAAGTGCAAAGCCTGCTGCAGATGCTGTTATGCAGATGGAGAATGGTGTGTGTTTACCAACTCGCCATGAGCACCACCTGCAAAGGAAAACTACATAACTCTCACTGAGAGAGCAATTGTGGAAATACCCTGTTTGGAATGTCTCAAGCCTGTGGTCTGTAAGCACATACCACACCAGTACAGCAAGGAAATGGCTGAGAAATCAGAAATGGTATTACATAGTACAATTTATTTAAAATGACTTACAGCCTACTTTTGAACAAAAAAAAATTAATTCAGGTCCATCAAAGTCACAAAGTCAAAGAACAGTCAGAAAAAGGAGAGATGGGAAAAATGATTTTTATTTCCTTGTTTTGAAGTCTTGTTGTTCTCATGTTCCAGTAACAGTAAAGGTTGGAGTTTGAAAATTTGCAGTAGTGAGATATTGTATAATTTGCCCCCCCCCCCACCAGTTTTTTTGCCCCCGACCCTTCTCTGTTACCACCAAAAACCACTTAACCCATTGAGAAAATAACCAGGATTATGTGTTTGCCCTTTGCAGTCTTTTCTTGGAATGTTGTATCACAACGAAAATGACTCAGATGGTATTCAGCAAGTACTGACAGCACTGCATCAGTATGTATCCTACTATGGTGATGGAGATGACAGAGTTTATTCCTCCCAAGGTTTAGTGGCTGATCAACTGTCAGTGGAGCGTGGCGTGAATGCACTCTTTGAGCTCTCAAATGGCTTTACTCCAGAGGAATGTCTAGAGGGTTTGCACTTGGAAATTGCTGACTGGCACGCAGGAAATAAGTTTTTGAAGGTATGAAAATATTTAGTGTTTCTTTCAAGCCATAGTTTATGAGTCATATACATTATATGTAGCTTTGCCAATGGGTTCATACTCATTAGAGTATATTCAGTGAACAACACCAATGCAAGATAGCTTGTGAGATAAATATCAGGAAATTAGTTGCATAATTACACTGTAAAAACGGTATGGTCTGATTTCACACAGTTAAATGATAATTGTTTTATTTGAGATAAAAAAAGTCAGTCAATAAGGTATGACATCTCTCTCACTGTGAAAGGAAATGCATCAGTTGATGGGTGAAACTAAATATATTGTAAATATCTTTATTGAAATAATAAAACTAATGATAATAATAACAATGATATCAAATATATTGCACATTCATTCACTTGCATAAACAAGTAAATGTAATTCAAATAATGATGATGATGATGATAATAATGACACCAACAATAATAATAATAATAATAATGATGATGATGATGATGATAATGGTGATGGTAATGGTAATGATGATAATGATAATAATAAATATAATGCACATTCATTCACTTGCATAGTCTTCTAATCATGTAAAAAAAATAGTTCAATGTTTGTATGTATCTGTTTTTAGGTTGCATTCCATAATTTCTACAACACAAAATCAGCAGGAGACAAATGCACTCTCTACAGCGACAGAAATTTAATAAACAGAAGGAATGTCAGCAGTGATGTTGATGCGGCAGTTAACCCCTGTAGAAAATTTTTCGACCTCGAAATAAAAGCAAGGCTTATAGCTGCTGCATTACATGAGCTTGGGATGAATAATATCTTGGATAGCCCTAAGGGTGAATTTTCCCAACCAAACCTCCCTGAAGCGAGTAACGTGGAGAAAAAGGAATATGTGCGTAAAATTGCCACACACATTGTAGATGGCTATGTCATTCGAAGGGAAAATGTTGAAAACATTTTCAATAGCCTAGTAGCAGCAGAAGCCGCTGAGGAAGAAGAGGTCAGGCAACAAACAGACAATGGCAGATACATTTGTTTTTTTCCCGGTTGTGGCAAAAGCTTTGCATCAAGGGGGAAACGAATGCGTGATCATGAAGCCACCCATAACCAACAAGTCCCACCTCAAGATTCACAAGGGTTACTCTTCCCAAGTGACTCAGCCCCTTCAGAGAAAGTCCCTGAGAAGGATGACATGTTCAATTATCAGTGTTCTTTCCTCGAGTATGGCATGCTAATTTTGAATTTCTTTGATGCCATCAAAGAGGGTGATGGTAAACGTACTTTCAGATGCTGGAAGTTTCAATTGCCTTACCTTAGGAATGACCGGGAAGTACAAAGTATGCCCTTGAAGCCCTGGGGATGATTTTTTCAAGTTTATGCACTGCTTCCACCAAAACATGCCCATGAACTTGTTTGGAACAGAACTGCATTGCTTAAGTCAGGTTTGGGACATAACATTCCCCTTGATTTACTCCTTGAGTTTTTCAATCGACTACTGAAAGAAGTCAGGAAAAAGTTGGGTCCTAATGCAACCAATCACAAGGCTATAGATCGCTACTGTCACGCAATTGATTTCACTAAAGCATTACTTGACAACTTTGATCAAGAGTGTTGTGTCATCCGCCGTTCTGGACACCACTATGAACTCTCTGTGGTGTCTGACTTACATAAGATTGTTACAGAGCTCATCACTCAGAGGGCTTTCTGTTGGACACCAGGGCGTGCCTATGAACACTTTAATGGTATTAATTCCACCCTCCTGTCAGACTTTGATCTTCAAGACATGTTCAGGTGGATAACCAAACACAAGAAAAACATTGTCAGAGAAAGAAGAGCACGCTAGAATGATGTTTTAAGACAGAAAGGTCAATCCAGTATTTAAATTCATATGTAACCTTCAAGAGTGAAATTACAGATCAAATTTGGACACATTTGATCGAAAAAGTACTGAAACTGGTCAGATAGATGGTGATGAAAAGTTTCACACCAGCATTTATAGTAAATTGTACACAAATGAAATCCCTCATTGCAACCTCAGATCAATTTCTAAGTTCCATGTGATTGTTTCCTGTTTATTTTTCTTAACTTTTCTTAGTATTTTCCAAGAACTGTGATAAGGGTTTTAATAAAGAGGGCTTTTTATTTCACTGACATCACCTTAGGGGCCGACCATTTAACTCTTTGAGGAGGGAGGGGGGCGGTGGGTGATTTTGAAAAAAAAAAAATTTCCTGCAAGCGCTTGTCGGAAGAAAAAATTGCATGCAGCACAAATGTAATGGAGAGCTTATGGGAAAAAAAAAAGGAAAAACATATCCTGCCCACCATATTGCTAGAAAAAAATTCTTGATGTCCAGAAATCACCCACCCCCACCCTCAAGAGTTAAATGGTCGGCCCCTTAATTAATCTAAATGAGTAGGAACCACAACAGAAGACCTGCTTCACAGAAAATAATCACTTGATGAAAGTTATTTTTTCAACGTATGTATAAATGAAACTCTTACTTAAAATTTTGGCTTTTCACAAATAACTGAAAGATGCCTATGAAGCTTTATAGATTGGCTTTTAGCATTTCTATTAAGCGACATGACCACGAAATATTGAAGACATTTTGCCTCCGCCACTTACAAGGTACACGAAAGATGATAATTTATTACATTTATAAATGTAATTGTACAGGAAAAGCTTCTAAAACCAATCAGGTGAAGATGAAAATTTCATGGACAGATGTTAGCAAGGACTTAACCATCCCAAAGTTAGTCTAAGTTAATGAGGCAATTGCCATTCATCCTCAGAGACTCAGAGGCAACACTAGCATGGGATGTTATTGTTTCAAAGATAACATGAATTGGATTGTACTTTTTGCAATTACTCAGGGCAGTCACTAACATTTGAAGCAGACATGACTTTTAAAACTTAAAAAAAAAAAAAAAAAAATTGGCAATTAGGTGCCCTTTGGTCTCTAATGATGTTTACAATTATCTACTGTTTAAAAGATTGGCAATCACACTGCTCATGTTTACTTCCTCATTACCTGACTGATCAATGCCTTCCATATGAACATCTACATTAAGCAAGTCACTTTCACTCAACAGCTGACACAGTTCAGAGTCATCTCTGATGTCTGCCCATTCTTGTGCAAATTCCTCTATGTCCTCGTCTTCACTCTCTGGTGCCTCCAATTCGCTGCTGTGCACATCACCAAAGACCTGGTGAATTGCACTTAAAATTGCTCGGCTGTGTTCTCTTCTCCAAACTTCAACAAAAGTTTCTACATGTTGTAGTGTCTTAATTTTGTCACAATTATCCAGAACTTGCTTGATTTGCAGTGGGGTGAATTCATGCATCATATTTACAGAAGCCACAGCCCCTGAAGAATTTTGAAGAAGCAGGTTTTTCATGTAGTTGAACAGTTCAGTCCTGAGGTGTACCTTGTCATTTTCTTCAACTGGACGAACAGATTCAGAAGAAAGGTTTTCATCTTCGGTAGCATCCAGAACTAGTATAGCAGGTTCCCGGCAAATTTCTTGTTGACATCCACATGCTTTAGCACATATGTCACAGCACTGGTGACCTGACACAGAAGAAGTAAATTTCCCTGGAAAATGACTGTATAGATAAGTACGCCTACAGTCAGTACTATTAGCAACAAAATCCTTGATGTCATGCATGCAATGTGCACCAAGTAGCCCATTGTGCAGCAAAAGGCATGAGCTTGGCTGTCCATCTCTACCAGCCCTTCCACATTCTTGGACATAACATTCAAGGTTTTTAGAAGGGCCAAAATGTATGACACGGTGAACTTCTTTGCAATCAACCCCCATTCCAAACGCAACAGTACAGGCTACTATTCGAATGTGGCCATTGGGTTGAGACATGTTACAAAGAATGTGCTTTTTCACAGCCTCGGGTGTTCCAGCATGAAACATTTCCACCATTCTCTTCTTACTGTCAACGTGTTTATTAACATAAAAATCAACTCCAAGGCTTTCTTTAAATGCTGAGTACACCAAAGCGCACTGCTTGCGAGTTTGGCAGAAAATCATTGTTCTTTCACAGGACACGTTTTTACTTCTAAGCTCATCTATTAAAGTACTAAATATTGAAGAAACAGGCAGGTTTTTATCCAAATAACGCACACTGAATTGCACATTGGGCCTTTCTGGACTGTGTTCCATGATGAAGGATGAGGACTGGTTTAAATTCAAAGCCCTGAAAATGTCTCTTTTGGTTGATAGTGAAGCGGTGGCCGTCACAATGATAGAAGGAACATTACTTACAGTTAGTGACTTGAGTTCCCCCAGGTTTCCATACCAAATTCGGAAAGGGACTGCTGTGCGCTTTGAGGAAGATCCAGGAAGACCCCACTGGCTTATACAATGGGCTTCATCGACAGTTATCGCCACCAGAAACTTCCGATAGTGTTCAGTTAAAAGAAGCTTGCGCCATCGTTCCACGCTCAACATTTTCTCCGGTGATGCAAACAAGTAAGTGAACGCTCCTTTTTCCACTTCCTTCAGTCGTTCTTCCGATTGCTCATCGTGAAGAGCAATTGCTGATAATCCTAAAGACCGCAAATATGCTACCTGGTCTTCCATTAGCGTTCTTAGAGGTGAAATAACAATTATTTTGCTGCTTCCACGTGGTCGCGAGAACAGCTCATCGGCGACGATCGGAGCTGCATAGAAGATCAAGGACTTTCCGTAACCGGTTGGAAGACTTGCATATACGTCTTTTCCTTTAAAAAGTGCTTCTAAGCATTTTTCTTGCTCGCTGTAAAGCGAAGGAATTTTAAAAATGTCGCAAACACTCTCTAATGCACGACGGAACTCTCCTGCATCGACCGCCATATTGGAATCTACCTCTACAGAAATGTGAGCCTCGGAAGTTTTGGTCAGCGTAAACGTGAGCCTCGGAAGTTTTGGTCAGCGTTAATCACTTTTAATAATTTATGCAAAATTATTCCTGAACACGATTATCAACGGTAAATCACAGACGCTCCTTTCCGATTTTTTTGAGGTGAGGGGCGGCTGTACACAGGCTAAAGGTCACACGATCTTGTGCGATGTTTATTATCAGCCGACGAACGATTGAAGTGATGAAAGGTTTTCAAAATCGAAGTCTTTAGTTTGCGATGAATTTTTATTCCTTTTGCCTCCTGACTGAAGTAAAAACTCTTGTAACTCTTACTTCGACGTGTTGTGACTTTATTTCGATTCACGGCCGGATTCTGGCGCAGTCGCTGAGCAAACGTACGTTTGTCTTTTGGACCTTTTGGCTTAAAATTATGGATTTTGTGACTCAAACCGACGCAACAGAAGTTGGAAATAACTTTCCTTGCCGTAAAAACGTGTTACAAGCAATGGTGAGTAATCCTTTCATGTAAAACCTTTCTTTTAGTTTGACAACCGTCCGCAAGCCGTCTAATTTGCATAAATTTCCCAATTCAATTGCTCTCACCGCTTGCTTTGGTGTCAGGATGATATTTGATTTCCAGAGCTAAAACTTTCCAGTAAGTTAGTACAAAAGCCAAGGTTCCATTTTATATTGATTTTATGATCAAGTGGCATATACCAGAGGCCTTTTTTAATAGTCAAAGTTGGCCTTCATTTTCTAGCACGTCTAACGTCACAAATATGACCTCTTTACACTTGTCGATTGTAAAAATGTAAAGCATTGTTTATCAAATTTTCTTTTAGGATTTTCAAGAGTAAGAACAAAATAATAATTCGGTGAAGTTTCAATGTCAGGGAATGTTTCTTACGCGTTCACCCTTCTCTCGAAGTTGCCATTGCATCCTGCCGTGTTTTGTGCGAAAAACGAGCATAAAATCGATTTTTCAAACTTTTCCTAATTTCTTCGTTAAAATGAATCGTTTGAACCCAAAACTATTTTTCCTTAAATAAGGTCAATAAAAGGGATGTTTTGGCAAAATAAAAAAAAATTCAATTTTTTGACGAGTGTCGTGCGATTCTCGATTTTCTCAGATAATGGCTCTTAAGAGAGTTGTAGTGTGGTTGCCTTCGCAATGGTGGCGTCACGTGTTAACGAGGACACTGAAACGTAGGATTTATCGCCAGTTTTTGTTTACTTACGTGTACTTTATGTGTTATTTAATCGTTATTAATTCACATCTGAGCCAATAAAGAGACCGCATTCCTCGTCTTTGTTGAAAGTATGCCCTAACCCTTAATCTCTTCACAGGCTTATGCCCAATGGGGCAGAGCACGCAAAGTCACCCGGTAAAATTTGAAGATATCTTGGAAGGATAAATGACCGCAACATTTTTCGTACTATGGATAAGGTTTAATTGCAGTCGTTTTTTTTAACTTTAAGGCTATTTATCTTGCAAGTAAGAATAACAAGAAGAAGAAGAACCTTTATTAATTTGTACCGCTCAGGGTAGCCCCTTCAGACGCAAAAAGCTGTCTGTTATCAATGGGAGCCCTGAGCAACAACGCACAAAAACCACACTGAACATATAAACATTACACTAATACAGGTAATAATATAAATAGAAAACTATTTTCAATTAAAAGATTAAAAGATGTAAAACACGGAATATCAATAAGATAATTCGTTAAAAAGAGTGCAACCACAATAATAGAAGGATCTTTTAGCAATTTCAGTTCTCACAGCAGGCGGATGTAAGAGGTTGCTTTGTCTAGTAGCGCGCGCATGGATTGTATTATTACGTTTAAAATATTGTTTAAAATACTCGGGACATTGACCTTGCAGGCATTTCTTAACGAGTTTAAAAACAGATTGACGTCGGCGCTCCCCCAAGGTGGGCCATTTCAGAACGTCCAATGCCTGCTTGCTGCGCACAGTACAAGCCACTATCCTAGCAGCCCGGTTTTGGAGGGCTTCAAGGTCTTGTTTACGACCTTCCCCGCAACAGCCCCACACACTTACACAGTATTCTAAAATTGGCCTAATTAGACTACAATACACTACATTTGCACTCTCTCTAGTGAGGCTTCTGCGAAGCCTGCCGAGCATTCCTACGCGTTTTCCCGCCTTCGAAATTAGGTACTTTATTTGCTCGTTCCAGCTAAGGCGGTCATCAAAAACTATACCTAGATAAGTGAAGTGAAAAACCCGCTTAATTACATTGTTATTTAAAGTAATAGAAAAAGAGTTAACAGCAGATAATCTAGGGGCGGTTCCGAAAAGCATAGCTTCGGTTTTTGTTACATTAAAAGAAAGCCAGTGATCAATCTTAGACAGTTCTGCATTCAGTTTGTCTTGAATGACAGAGGCTTGAGAGGATGAACAGTATAAATCAGTGTCATCAGCGTACATCAGAATATTGCAATCGGACACTACTTCAGGTAAATCATTGATGTGTAGAATAAACAATAATGGACCGAGGATAGAGCCCTGAGGCACACCAGTAGAGACGGCTTCCGAAGCAGAAGTCACCCCTTGAAACTCCACAACTTGGGTGCGGTTCGACAGGTAATCCGTAAACCAGCCATGCTCTTTATCCAAAATCCCCAAATTGGAAAGCTTGTCCAGAAGTACCGCATGATCCACAGTGTCGAAAGCTTTGCGAAGGTCAATAAACACAGCACCAGTTAATCGACCTTGCTCCATGTTCCTACGAATATTATCAGAAAAACTAAGAGCAGCGAATTCTGTCGAGTGACACTTCCGAAACCCGCACTGATAAGGGCTCAAGATCTTGTTTTGCTGGAGATATTTGTAGAGTTGGATATGTACAACCGGTTCTAAAACCTTAGATAGAACAGGTAAAATGGAAATCGGGCGATAATTGTCCATCTCATCAGCCTTTCCCTTTTTAAAGAGTGGAATGACCCGTGCGGATTTCCAATCACTGGGAGCTTGGGCAGTACGTAACGAGGTGTTGATAATAAACGCCACAGGCTTAGCTACAATGTCCGCAGAATCTTTTAACAGGCGAGCCGGTATGCGGTCCAAACCCACAGCCTTCCCAGATTTCAGGCTACGTAGTTGAGACATAACAAACTCCTCAGAGATCTCAAGAAAATTAAAAGGCGGATACTGACGGGCAGGAGTATCGGAATCACGCTGTTTATTACCACAAGTTTTCCGTAAAGTGGCCATCAATTTGCTTGCTGCAGATGTGAAAAACTTATTAAATGCGTTGGCAATGCATTGTTTGTCAGAAGAGACAACGCCGTCCACTTTAATGTTTGGAGAAGTAGCTTTCTTTTCTCCCGGTAGGATTTTTTCAATCGTCTTCCAAAACGATCTGTGATCACCACCACTTTCCTCGATGAGCCGTTTATTGTAAGACGCTTTTGCTGACCTTATTTCTTTTGTCACACGATTGCGAAAATGGCGGTAGTTTGCCCAATGCTCTGAGGCATTGTTTTGATTGCTTTTTTGTGAAAATAATCACGCTGGCGCATAGAGATCTAGAGCATACTTTTTCTCTTAAATGTCGCACACTAATAAATTATTAACAGTTTTCTAGGATATCACTTCTTTGAATAGTTATTTATATATCATCAGGGGGTTTATCTCGAATGAAAAATAAGATCACTGTCCTGATTATTTTGCATCCTAAGGCTCGGCTAAACATCAAATGTATTTTCGTGCAACATCATGTTTGTCACGTACACGTAATTTGGCGGGGCTAGAAGGGGCGCCACAGGAACAACTGACAAAGTTTGACAATACATACATCAGAGAAAGTGAGCCCTCAACACTGTCACATTCTTAGTGGACCGGAGTACCCCCGCCCCTTTTAAAGCTTGGTTGCTTTGTTGGCTGAACGCTCAAATATCTGTTCGTGAGAAGGAAGTTGGATGAAGATGTTTTTTATCTACAGATCAAACATGGGAAAATGCAAAATTTTGCTGAACGGTCCAACATACTCTCTCCACATGATATTGGACGAACATGTTTCATCGTTTAGCCGAAGCTTTAATACGAACTCGCTAAATTTTACCCTTATTACCAAGGGGTTTCTTATGGCTTTATTCCAAAAGTGGATAAAGGCCTGGTACCAAGGTTGGAACTAACAAGATGTGTGATCACTGTCTCTAGCAAAAACACCACTTATCAATCACAAGGGTGTAAAGATGTGATCACACAGCATCGAGTAACCTTAAAATACATTTCATTACTGTTTCTATAAAAATACACAAGGAGAAATTAAATTTTGAAAACTTATCACCTATCTGCAGGAACTCTCTCAAAGCCCTTGTAAGACACCTTTCTCTAAGTTGCACATCAGCGAATAGTTGGCACTAGAGAGTCAGACAACTGAAGTTAGGGTTGAGGTGTTAGGCCTGGAGCAAGCTCACTACATGGACATGATTGGCAGGCAATAGGCCATTTGGATGATGAAATCAGGCTACTACTGCTGCAAATTAGGGATTGTGTTAATTAAACCTTGCTGAAATTACTAAAACTACTTTAACTACGAAAGGAAATACCAGATAAATTCTGGTCATGGTGGTGACATGACACCATTGTGCAAATAGCCCGTAAACCCTTTCTGACCCCAAAATCCCATCATCACCAAGTTACTGTATTTTTTTAGATATTTAACCAAAAATTATAAACAACTAAGGCTAATTACAATTATAGTACAATACATATGATTTAGTGATGAATCCACTGCTAAGCCTGGTGTTATATGATGATCACTTTGATCACTGAAAGTCAGCTATCTGTGCAATAATCATTGCATCCATTACAGAGCCTCTGTACGGGTACCTTGAGGATGTAGTTTCTGTCAGGCCTTTTTCATTAGTTTTTCAACAAAATCGTCACATATCAAGAATGGATTTGCGGCATACTGCTACTTCCAAGCTCCAGCAACCAAGACAACAACAAAGGAAGCAAGAAAATAATTAAAAAAGCAACAGGACTAAACTGAACATACAGCACACTTTTTTTTTCTGCTTGCCAAAGAAAATACTGTAATTCAAGATTTTTTCAAGCGCTAAGCTTGCTATTGTTGCTACAATTGTTGAATTATTTCAGTGGTTGCTGCAACCTTATAGAAACCAGCCTTCAGCTGTTGATGATGCGTTAAAGGTATGCACATGAAGTGTGCAAACAGACATGCATGACTGTGTTGCCATAATTTGGAAATAAAATTATATCTCTCAGTTGCACTGCACACCTTGATTGATCATTCCAAGGGCTTTTTTCTCCTGAAAAGCCGAAAGGATTCTTTCTTGCCTAATGACCATACTCAGAGATACAATAAATATCTTACTAATCTTAGGTTATGGGACCCTATTTCTTCCTCTGGGTTTATGACCCAGCACACAACTGGGCCAAGAGACAGAGGGAAAAACTTGGTCCATTACTCATAGTTCAAATCTTGAACTTGCTTAGTGAGAGGCATGTAAATACCTGACATTTTGTAATTCTTGGTGTTGTAGATGGCAAAACCCAAGTCATTCAGAGACCTGATGGAAAAATACTTAATCTACCATAAAGAGTGACTGAAATTAGTGGTCAATAGCTAGGAAGTGCATGAAGTCCTTCCTATTTTGGATTGGAGATCTTGTTGGTCGCCCCAGGTCTTTTCTTCCACCCTTGTTTGTCTTGATCTCCAGGAGGACTGGACCCTCCAGACTTCTCATGAGTTCAATAGCTTCAGTTATCTCCTCTGGTTGTTCAGCTGCTAATACCTGAACAAAGAAACAGAAATCAATGAACCATCTTATCAGTTTTACATACACATGTGCATAATTTGAGAGGAGACCATTTAACAATAACATTTGATTTAATATTTTAATACCTAAGCTTCAAAAGTAAACAAAGGGACATGCAAGTGGGAGTAAAGAAGGGATGTAACATCCAAAAAAATTTGAATTTGGGAAATTGCGAGATTGATTGGTATTGTCAGAAAGAACAGGAAGAAAAGAATTCACTTGCCAAAAATACAATAAAAGCATTGTGCAAATTGGTGGTGAGATGGAAGCGACGTTATTCAGCCTCTAACGCCAACATAGAAGTCCTTCTAAATTTGACCTAGATTGTTTGCCTTGCAATCCAAGCTAATTTTAAAAGAATTTGTACTGGGAAGGACTTATCAAGCATAACATTCCTATCCCTTATACCTCAGCACCATTTTACAATAACCCAGTGATTTTTTGGCAAGTGGGTAATTATCAGCATGTTCTTTCTTTGACAAGCCTAGCCATAACCCCATCATTATTTACATTAGTTTGGTTTTTGTGAAATCATCACTCCTCCACTCTGCATCCACATTTTGTGGGTGCTTCTCTTCTGTTAACAGCCTCAGGGTGCAAAGAAAATCATTTTTACAGCTTGCAAAAACCATTCGGGGCAAGCTGAAGCTAGCATTTATATTTACTAACCCAGACATCATTATCTTTCAACTAGCCCAAAAAAACTTCTTGACTAGCAGAATTGATTCTTTCAGCGCTTAGCACTGAAAAGTATAAGCGCTATATAAATATTTTATTATTATTTATTATTATTTATATTATTTCAAAAGGTTGAGTTTGATCGTCCGGGTGAACGTAGTCCTGAATAGGACTGTTGTTGTTGTCAGTGACTGATGTTTCGACAGCCTGTGCGGTAGTCATCTTCAGAGTCAAAGTGAGTTGTATCACGTCAGTTGATGGTTTTATACTCTGGTTATTGATCTGATTGGTCAATTATGTCGCGATGTTATTGGTCGCCTTTCAGTTAAGCCGTGATGTTATTGGCTATGAAGACTCGTAATCAGTGATTGGTGCGTTTCGATCCGTCTATTGTCGCAGTTAAACAGTCGTCTATTGTTAGTCAAATTGTCAGTTCTCCAGTTGTTCTCTCGTAGTTAGTTTTGCTTGATCTCGCCAATAAGTCAGTAAGCTGGTAACTGTTGGCTATGATTCAGTGGCGTTTTTTCTAAGTTAGTAAACCAGCTTTCTAAAGTAAGACGTTGATAGTAGTCTGTAGAATACGTTATACATGTCGCAGAGTCCCAGTCAATGTGATGTTTCGTCTTTAAATGGTGCTCAGCAATGTGATTGTTGCATGACGTCACCATTCCTCGTCCGCGTTTGTGTTCGGTCAGTCGCGTACTTAGGTTTCTGCCGGTTTCACCAATGTAAGAAGCCTGGCAGTCGCAGCATTTGATCTTGTATACTGCTCCCTGTCTGTCCTCTGGTTTGTCTTTGTCCTTGACATTAGTAAGCAGTCGCCGTAAAGTGGTTATCGGTTTATGCGCAACACGATATTGTAAGGTTGTAATATACGTGCAATAGTTTCAGAGGTGCACCTCTAGATGGGGTCTACTATTATTTAATTTGACTTAAATTGATGATGTATGGATGACTTCTAGCTTTTTACTTAAACGATAAATTTATGCATTCCTGTCCTAAATATAAGCCAAATCCTGGAACTGAAAAACTTTGTGGCAAGGAACTCACATATCACAGAATAAAAATATGTAGATTGTGTAGTAAACTGTCTCTAGGAAAGATATTGTTGAGATCAGCACTTGATGTCTGCTCATCTCACAGAAGTGTGACCACCTTATTGGAGTCAAAGAAAATGGCTGAAGAATGGCAAGGGCAAACTCTAACAGGCAGGGTGCCCCACAACCATGTCCAATCGTCCAGGACTGGTAGAAATTTAGTTCGAACATGTAAACATTTGACATAATTTGTCCATGGGACAAGAACATTTTTAATCAGAAAAAAATACAGAAACAGCTGAAAACTGACTTCAAATTACCATAGAATTACTTCTGTTATGATGTAACTCATTCCGAGGCTCAAAATGCCAGTTGATAATGGCAGGATTCACAAAAGTCCACAAATTACAGTCTTCATTGTTAGTTTTTCTTTCAAAGCAACCAAGAAAAGAAAAAATCTTGGATGCTAGCAAAGAAGTAGGTGAATCATGAGAAAATCATTAAATGCCCGAGTTTTGAGGAAAAAGTTTTGCACAAGAACTCTTGGGTTTTGGGCAACCAAATTCAATATTGTGCTTGTCCAAAGGACAAGTTGATAAGAAAACTTTTCGCTTACTCTGGCAGGGTTCAAAATCTCATCCAGTAGACCGGGAAAAGTAAATTTTCTTACTAGGCAAGTAACTTTTAAATTAAAAGCTTATCTGTCCAGTGGGCAAGAGACCTGGGAAGTCATCCTCTAACAAATACTAAGAAGAGCAACAAGTGGCCCCAGGCAAGCAAAAAGTTATGCGAGAGCTACTTTCCCAAAGGACAAACTGAATTCAAATTTTTTTAGCCCTGCTCTTTTGACATAAAAAGTTTGTTTGTTTTGTAGAGGTATGTCTTTAAACAGGGCTGGCTGCATCCAAAACTTTAGAATGATTGGACAAATGAGCAGATTTGTGTCTGGTTTTGAAGGGGTATGAATGGACTGACGTCAAAAATTACACAACTGGCCCTGGGATTCTCACATTTTGTGTTTTATCAGATTTATTATTCCGCCTTAAGCCAAAGGGCAACAGTTTGTGCTGCACGGTTTAATTTTCTAGAACAATCAAACATCTAACTTAAGTTTACTTTGTAAACCTTTTTGTCTTAGGGGCAGGAGCAATGATACACGAAACTGGGTAGGGCTGACTATATTTCAACACATTTCAACCAGCTGTTCTGAACTAACAAAATAATATGACTTTCTTGAGCTGTTACAAAAACCCCGAGATCCCGCAAGCTTTCAGTGAAGATATGCTGAAAAACAGGTCTTGATCTATCAAGCTAATTTTATCGTAATTAATATATCAGCAGACCGAGAACAAAAGAAAGACAATAGACAAATATACACGGACATTTGATGCGGCGTCTATAATATTAAAAGCTTATCTCGTGATTTTCTAAGAAAAAAGTTTGATAAAATGGTGTCGTAGTCACCTCTGTAGAAACACATTATGGCTTCTAAGAAACCTGAAGTGACAGGCAATTTCTCTTCCAGCTCTGAGCTGAAAGCCGGGGCAAGGCTACCGCCACAGTGATTTATTTCAATATTTGCCATCCACTCAAGCGTGTCGTAGTAAATTCAAATTTGCATTTAAACGTGCATTGTTGGTTGGGCGAGTAACTAAAGGAGTAGTTTGTCATCCCTTCTTCGGAACAAAGCACATAACACATTGCCTAATGGTGTTTCACTTTCATTCTGCTATATTCGAAGTCGATTAAACACGCAAGGCTTTAATGAAAGAGAAAATTAGTCGTAAAAACGGATGCTGTATATATTACAGAGTTAAACATGTGGTTTATGCTAACGGAAAGTTCTAATTTTAAAAACATTTACTCACCGCGGATTTTGAAAGCTCCACTGTATTGAAGGTAAAGTTTTTGAGCCATTCACGAGGGCAAAAAGCTCCAAATAACCATAAAGCAACGTTAAAATATGCACGTAAAAACGTCCTTTCCAATTGCGTGCTTTCATTGATGTTGTTTACAGACAGCCGATGCAAAGTGGACGTGTAAATAATTTCCTCTTCACGAGACTTCAAAGAAAATGTAAAGGACAAAGGCGAAATACGAAATGTTCTCTTTCTTGGACTCAAGGGTCAAAATGTAATCGACTGATCTGCTTAGAATGATGTCATGACAAGAATCGATCACATTTCCTCAAGAGAAACAACTTCACGACGTGGGCGAAGGTATCGAGTATCGCGCGTAAGCGTCATTTGATTGACAATGAAATCTATTTTCTACTTAGCGCCAAACCGGTACTTCCGCTTCAAACAGTGTTTTCTATTTCCGGTCTGAAATTTTCAACATCTCCATATCGGTTTTTTTGTTTCATAAGGCCCAATCGAACTTCACACAACAAAAGAAAGGATAGAAGTTGGTAAGATTTATCCACCCACAAACTCGACCACGCTAAATCGACTGTTAAAAATCGTGACCGTCATACACCCGCTACCGGTTGTGGTATTAGAAATGTCGTAATGTCTAAAACCAGAACTCAAGCCGACTTCATCACTTTTCGAAAACCATGCACCCTATTTATTTCGCCAAAAAACAATTATTGTGATCTTCTAGCTGTCTCATGACACACCTTTCTTGCCCACATGGGCGTCTGTAAACCTCAATACCCTTGCACCAGCCACTGATGGAATATATTTCACATCTGTTAAGTGAGAAAAGGCAGTCAAATCTATTAAAGTTGATAGGATGTTGTCGTTAATTTTTTATGTCAGGTAATTTTTGTTTTTCTTTTGTTTTTGGGTATGGTAATGTTGATAATGAAGTTGAACATAGGAAAAATAAAAATTGTCTGAGTAGACTAGACAGCTTCCTTTGTCACTGGCTTACTTACAGTTGACAAAGGCTGAGTTTTTTGAGCTGGAAAAGTTTGGGCCTCATATCAGTTTCTAGCCTAAGCACATTTTCTGTCATTTCACGTCAAAATAGATCATGATTCCATAATGAGCGAGAGTTTGTGATGTACAGTGAGAAAAATTGCACAATAAATTTAGAACATTTCAGAGGCTATTTTGGTGTCTCGAACGATGGAAAATAAGTCACGAATTCAGTACCCAAATTTATATTTGTAACAGACTTTTTCGCTTTTGAATCTGAAGGAAGTTGATTTAGCTTATTAGTATTTGAACAGAAATTTTAGATGGATAGAAATTTGCCACTTATTTTTTCTCACGTACCTCTGGAAACAAGCCCATGAACATGATATGAAAGCTGATGTTTTCTTGAACTAAAGCTAGTAGGCCCAGCAACTCACATCATGTAGCCAATAGGCAATTTGGATATTTTTTGCGGTCATAGTGCTGTCAAATGAAAAATGCGCGTGGTTTCTATTTTTTCTGTAGCATGAAGTTCAGAAATAAATATTATATTTCCCGTTTGCTTTAGACTGCAAAACAGTGGGGTTTTTTCTTAAAATCGGTTTAACGTCGCGTAAGAATAGCGTTAGAGTCTCACGCTCGAGCACCCTTTGTTTGAATGTTCGCGCATACTTGAATACGCAAAAATACGGAGTGTTTTGCAGTCTACGTTTGCTTCGGCGTTCTTGCTTAAGCATGGGACAAAAGAAGGAAAAATGAAGCACAGGAACAGCGAAATGGAGGAAACAGCTAGGACAGCAACTGAATACCCTGAAGATAAGCCAGCATCATTTTCATCTGTTTTATTTGGGTACTGTGCGAGCTGGCTTTGAAACTCCTAAAAATTCTATTCAGCTTGTTTCTTCTGTTTCCTACTTTGCTTCGGTGGGAGCTCATTTTATTATCTTTTCTGTATTAGCTAGAGGATACAGTGGAAACTGAAAAAAGCCCTTTGTCTCTCGATCGCTGGAATATCTGTGGCAAACTTTTTATGGTTTCTTCGAACTCATCACTAATTACCACTAATGCCTTTTTGTGGTGAGCCACAAAAGAATCTCGAAAATAGTTTTGTGAAACAGAGCTGCTAAACAACACGGCGCGGTTTACCATTTTTAAAAGCCTTAGTTGTTTGAAGTCGAGTATGTGTAAATTCGAATAGCAGGTTTGAAGAACTGATAGACAGGGAGTTTTACAGCAAGAACAACCTGACAAGTGCCATAGATTGTGAAGCCCACACAAGATCTATGTGTAACCATTTGTTCTGAAGAAAATGAGATCAGGACACTAGATTTACCTCAAATTTCACTTTATCGCTAAACGATCGCGAAAAGTTAATTTATCTGCCCAGGTTAGGCTAATCTGTGCTAATCCAAGTGTCTTTGAGAAATCCTGAGTTCCTTCAGTTTCTGGCGATAAATTAACCGCGATAACAGCGCGGTATGACTGGTACTAGCTAGCTAGACTGTTCCAGGCTCTCAGATAGGATGGTGTAAGGCACGCGTAAAAGGGGGCGGCGAAGGGCAGCGGCGGGAAAATTAAGGAAGCTCTTCCTCTCCCCAGTTTTCTACTGTTTTATCTTCATGTTCGCGTACACTGGTACTCATACCAAATAAGGGTAGGCAGAATCCTCTCGTGGGCAGTGGCCACGTAATCATCTTTTCCCTCAACATCGGGTATTTTGTCTACATAACTGAGTAAAACCCCCTTTGTTTAACCAAACTAAGGAGACCGTTGCGCAGATATGACCCATGTGCATAGTCTAGTCCGTTATTGTGGACACCATAGTATAGGGGCCGTGAGTTAGTTTCCTCACTAGGGGGCTTAAGCAACTACGACGTCGGACGGCTACAAAAATGTCTCTTAAAAAAGGAATTGGCGCTGTTTCAAACTTCATCGCTCTTATTCCAACTCTTAATTTTAATTTGTTAAATGTTGACGATTTCTTGAGGAGTTGATTTCTAAAGGACTGCATCTAAGTTCACAAAAAGAAAAAAAAAATCGTTGTCTTGTGTCTGTGTTCGTCGTCGTCGTCGTGCAACCACGGCAAAGAAATGTAAAAAGCGTATGATGCAGGAGCAAAGTTGTTGTTTTGCTATAAATCTAAACCTTTTATTGCTTTTTAGCCGTTCTCGTTTCCGTCGCTGTTGTCGTTGCCTACTGGTCTCGTCACGACATAAAAAAATTAAAATCCGAAAACTGTTCGATAGATAAATTCTAGAATCTGAGAAAGAAAAAGAAGTAATTATACAGAGGCCCTCGTCGAGTTTCAGGTAAGTGCAGTTTTCAATATGCGAGATGTTCGGAGAATGATTTGCCCATATTTATACCAGAGCTTTGTACGGAGCCATGTTGGTACCCATTCGGATGGGCACAGTCCGCACTATGGGTAATTTTTAACAACATGCCAACATGCCGGCCGGTACCCACAGAAACATCTGTTACTGAGTTTGTTAAGAATGCGTGGATTCATCTCTTGAGGAACTTGATCATAAACATTACACCGACATTAAAGTAGTACTTTTTGTAATATAATAACGGTTCAGATAGCAAATTTTCCCCAAATAAGTCACTTTTTTATCCTACGTGACAGCTCTCTCGGCCGCAATGTAAATGCTTTACCACGCAAAAGCTTAGAAATTCAAGCGTACTCTATCACGCACAAAAAAAAGACCCTTTCGCAGTGAAAATGCGTAGGAATGTTTGTTTTTGGCTGCTCTAATACCTCCCCAAAGTAAAAAGTCAGGAGGCTCGATAGTGTTCTTTAGTTTGATTGATAACGTAATGCGAAAACCAGCAAGAAAGTCCTGCTGAAGTCTGGCATGCGTAGCCCATGCGGGTGTCGAAAGGGGTAGGCGATATGGAGGAAGGGAAAAAGGAGGGGCATTGGGGAGAAAGGGTAAGTATTGAGCAACAGACGAATCGTAATTCCACCTCAAAAGTTTATATAAGACAACAAATTGTTTTTCTAAAGCAATGCTGCTTTAGGAAGCGTTTCCGCGCAAGTTTGTTACGCTAGTAAACTGGAAGCAATAAAGAAAGAGGGAAAAAAGAGTTGCGCTTTACATATCCGAGACTAGAAAAGAACAATTTCCACTTAGATTACTTTAAAAAAGTGAAACAAACAGACCCACGGCTTTACAAAAGATCGCTATACTCAGCGGTGTATTACTGCAGATTTAGTGTAGTTGGCTTTGACTCTATCAAAGGACTAGGTTGATAAAGAGTAGTGAGGCTTAAAGGGAACCTCCACTCAAAAAAATATTGCCCAAAATGCAAAAGTGTAGTGTAGTGTGCGTGTATTTTTCGCACAGAAAAATGTTCGTTTACCTAAAATTCTTCAAAGTTAAAAGAAGCGTTTGAATCCTGACGGCAGCGTTCAAGAGTTTAAAATGCTTAGCTGTCATGCCCGAATTTGTTATTTACAACACGGAATCCTGTAAGGAAGCTCCAGTTGCAAATTTCCATATTAGCCATATAAGGTATGAGACAACGCAACTTCAAATGAGAATGCAACATTGGGTGGAGCATCCTCGGCGACCCAGGGGCAGTTAGTCGGGTCGATAAAATGTTCGTGGTGAAAGTTTACTGTAAGATCGAGACGACTCGATCTTACAGTAAACTTTCATCACGAACATTTTATCGACCCGACTAACTGCCCCTGGGTCTCTGAGGATGTGGGTGGAGAGGACTGAGCGTGACTTCAGGCACTTAATTTGCCGCTCTGTGATTGGTCAATTCGGTGTTTAAGTTCGGAACACACTAGGCGACAAGTCGCGACGACAAATCACTCCGTGTGCACAGATCGGGCGACGAGTTGCAGCAACACGTTGCGGCGACACATCGGAGTGACAAATCGCTTCATGTGTACTCGAGAATTTTTGTGAAAATCTTTGCATCTGCAACAGAATTTTTGTCGCCGCAGCAAGTCGCACAAATTCTGTCTGATTTGATTTTTTTCCACATGTTGCTGCGACAAAATTCTGTTGCAAAAACAAAGATTTTCTCAAAAATTCTCTAGTACACACGAAGCGATTTGTCGCTGCGACGTGTCGCCGCGACCGTGACATGCATGGTCCTGCAACTTGTCGCCTAGTGTGCACCGACCTTTAGACATGCGCACTTGTCGTCAATTTGGTCAGCGTCTTTTTTTTTTTTAAAGCTGCCATTTCACTCGAAAGAGTACCGTCCCAAAGTAAGCGCCACAAAAGCTCCAACCGCCCTCTTTCGTTTATCTTCATATACATTCCCCAAAAGTAATGATAGCAACATTTCAGGTTAAAACACCGTAGTTTTCAATTGTATTTTTGTCCTTAGTATTATCAGGCCATTTTTTACATTTTAAGTGACGCGACACGAGGAAACATCTCTTTTTCAAAAACGTAGTGTTCCGCGCGTTTTTGCTTTTTGTTCCTTTAATTGCTTTAGGAACAACCTAGGAACGCACAATAAAGGAACTTTATTTGCACAATAGGAACAAAGGTCGGCAAATTTCGGAACAATCTGGTCCGTTAGCAGCAAATTGGAACACAAAGTTCCTTTTCGTTTTAGTCTAAAGGAACAACTGGTTCCTCTTTTATCCTTTCAGGAACAAAAGGTCCTCTTTCAACAGTTCCGATTTCCCTTCATGTTCCTTTCGAAGTGATTGGGGAACAAATGTTCCCAATCTAATTTCTTCCTCTACACAGTAAGTAACAAATTGTTCCTATTTACTGGCATATCCACTGCTGTACGGAACGCCTTGTTCCCTTTCGGTTCAGATTGTTCCTATTCATGCCCAACAGGAACGGAATTGTTCCTAATGGAGGTGGTTTTTTGTTCCTCAAGATGAGTGTTATGTTCGGCTTATAAATGGGAACCAAGAGATGGGAACAGGTTCCGAATTTGTGACAAAGGAACTAGTGTTCCATTTTGCGCAAAGTGTAAAAAGGAATAGGGAACAATAGTTCCTATTTATCGTAGGCTATCTGAAACTACTGTCCATCACCTCCGCTATACAAATTTATCAAAACATGTATCCATCAACAATCAAGTTAAGTACGAGACTTGCCCGCTGCATGCTTCATCTCGTTTGGGCTTGCCAGCGCAAGTTCAGGCTTGTGTCTTTGTTCCTTTTGATTAATTGTGTACCAAATACGGACAAGAAAACAATGGGGGCAAGGGCAAGAATGACCAAGTGTGGGCAGAGATAGGCTAACAAATATCTCATTGGCGAGTAGGATGATCTCTTGGGGACCATTTTGCTAGTATAAGTGCATGCATACTTTAGAAAGATATCGATTTCAAGCTAATGCTTAAGATGAACAAACGAGGCAAGGATGTCAACTGGTCAAAGTTAGCAAATGCATCGCCTAAACCGAAGAGACTTCACTTAGAAGAGGATGACTGTGATGGTCTTTTTCACTGCCCAGTATAAATTTGTAACCACGATGGATTCACTACGCAAAGAGGCTGTAGAAAACACGTAAAGAACAAACGCAGTTGGTACTATTACTTCGACGAGAAGACAAACAGTGCTCAATGGAATCGTTTCACAATCAGTCCGAGAAAATTGAAGCCAACGATCGGACGATTCCACGTACAACGAGAGCAATTGCCTCATTCGACTTGAAAAACAACATTGGTAAGAGTTTTTTTCTCATGGCTAACTGGCAGCGGTGGGGGTTGTAAAAGCGATCGACAAGCACAGCAAATTGTCAGCAGGTGTTTAAAGTTTCTCAAATTCTGTTGCGAAGACGAAGAGGAACTCACATTTGGCATTGTTGATTTTAGCCTATGTTCACCGAATCTCCTATTTAAATTCGTTGATACGATGCAGGATGAATGGAAACTCGGACACGCGGGACGGATAGGTTACTTGGACGCCATTGCAAAATTAGCGGATTTCAGAAAAGTAAATGGCGCATCAGAAACAGTATGGAGAGGCCTGTCCACAGCAGAAATGTACTTAAAAAGGGCACGAAAAACCGTCTCAAAGATGATGAGGTTGCAATGGACCAGCGAACTCGATATTGACGCTTTGGAAGCCAAGGGGCACTGGGCCACCATGGAGGAGCTTTTAGAGGTGGTGGGGCGTTACTTGCCGCGCTACGAGAGCGTGCTTAAAACATGCAGGGTTAAACCAGATACTGTTTCCCCACTGGAATTATCGTTTGCTACCAAATTTCTGGCCGTCTATTTGTTTATCAAGGTTAAAGGCTCACGCCCGATGACATACCAATATCTAACCGTAGAAATGGTCGACAAAGCTAAGACTAACGGCGGATTCATAGACCAAAAACAATTCAAGACAGCTGGAAAGTATGTTTTTGATTCTCTTTTCCTGACAGACATCAGTATGCAAGTCCTAGAAGGTTACATCAACCACATTCGCCCACTTCTCAAGCCTAACTGTGAGTATGTTTTAGTCACGAGAAATGGTCGACAACATAACAAGCTAGGAGAAGCAATGAGTAAATTGGTGTTCGATGCAACAGGCAAGTATGTTCACCCAACTCGTTACCGCCAAATAGTGGAGACGGCAAGCTCTAGAACTCTTAGCAGCAGCGCGCAAGATGCGATCTCCGAGGACCAGAAACACAGCTCTGTTGTGGCAAGAGTTCACTATCAAAAACGGCGATCTCGCGAAATCGCCTGCAAAGCACATGCATTTTTGGAAAGACTACAGGGCGAGAGGGGATCAGAGCAAGAGATGGACGTACGCTCTAGGCCGTCTGAGAATTCAAATTCTTCACAAGAACAAGATGTTCGATACGTCTTCTAATGACGAAGAAGACGTAATCACAGATACAACACGCGAGCCTTTAGTAGGAGTGCCAAAATTGAGGCGCGAAAATGCGTTCAGAGTGACCGACACAAGCACGCGACGGAAGAGTTTAATGTTCACCCCCGTGGAAGACAAATTTCTCAAAGCTGGCCTTAAACGGCACGGATTTGGGCAATGGAAAGCGATTCTAACAGACCCCGACTTTCAGTTCCAAAAGGGAAGAACGGCCAACTCTCCTCTGAGCCGAGCCGCTCGAAGATTTGGATCATATTCAAAATCGACGCAGCGCTGACAAGGTCCCACTTAACGAACGAACTCAAGGGCATGTAGCTATCTTAAATTCTTGAACTCAAATAAATGAATTATTGCAAACTTTAGCCCTATATAAAATGCGAGAAACAGCTATAGAAGGAAGAGATAATGTAAGCTAAATCCATAACGTCAACATGATTTATTTAATGACTGAATTCCTCGGCATGACCATGCCATCATGGGGCTTCGTAGACAACATGCAAAAATAACGTATTATTTGAAACTGACAACAAAGCATGCGCATTAATAATACAAGTGTTCTGTGGCGTAAAGGCCTTCAAATTAGTTTAACTTAGTATATCTTAAATTGCATGTACGGACACCTAACTTGATCCTACTTTTTTACACGTTTCTGCGAACTGAAAAAGCTAGTCACCCGCTTCTGTTCCTTTGTTGTTTGGCTTCTCGAGAGTCTCGCTCGCTTCGAAGGTCTGTTGTCAGGTGAGGGTACTCGCCTCAGTAATGGTGAAGAGCCTGTACAAATGCTTTCATCAAATGAGGGCTCGTAACAAGGTGTCTTCGGTGTAATGAAGATGTCCTCGCTCTCCGATTCGACGGCCTCCTGGCTCGTAGGTGGAGTAAACATCGTCTGGTGCGTGTCCTCAGGCGGGTCGTAAGATGGTGTCTTTGGCGTATTACCATCGTCGTTTGAAGCCGTTGGTCTGGACATGTTTTGGTTGCTACCTTCGACGATAACCGGTAAAGGTGAGTACACATCTCTAACGGAACTCGCGTACCTAGGATCTACTAATCCACGTTTCACACAGATTTCTTTCCTTTTTTCCACGGCCATCTGCATGCGAAGGGTACCTTGTTTTTCGTGAAATGCGCGGAGTTTCTCACAATTAATCTCCAAAGGACTCGTCAGCGTTGCACTCATGTCGGGGTCTGTGCCTCTCTCTAAACGCATATTGTTCTCGGCCATTTCTTTTTCTATTTCTAACAGCCACGGATTAGAGAATTCTTTTTTTACTTTCTCCTGCTCATCTCTTTCCCTTTGCTTTTCGAGACGTTCTGCCCTATCATTCAAGGCCTGTTGTTCTCTGCGGGCGAGGGCGGTTGGTAGTGGCTCGTCGGGATGCGTAATCAATCGATCTGCCTGCGATTTGCTGGTCACTCCTAAATTTACTAGATATCGTCGACGTCCGGCGATTTGACGATCTTGGATGGCTTTGTGCTGTGTTTGAGCGTTTCGCAGGAGCATGCTCAGCTGTCTGTGCCGAAACCCACCCGGCACCGCCTTTTCGAGCTCATGGCGAAGCTTGTCTATGTGGTTGTTATCTTCATTTTCATCGGAGCAGTCGCTTTCGGCTTCACTCTCCTCTTCATCCGTGAGTGAGATTTCACCGCCTTCCGTGTTGCACTCGGGGGCGTGGTCGTCTAGTAGGGAAACGGACAAAGTTCTCCGAATGTCTTCACTTTCTAAACCGTCCTCACGCTCTCCTAAAGTCCTTCCAGTCTGTGCGGTAGTGGAGTTTGTAGCAACCATCTTTTGGGCCCATACGATGCAGTCCATTGCATGTTCTCGCAGCCACTGGTTGGCCTCTGGGTTAACTTGCGCCAAGCTTCTGAAGAAGTTCTTGTGAAGTCTTCGGTTCATCGCGTCATTGTGGGCCTCGCCAAAGTCCATCTCCTGTTGACATGTAATGTACATACTTGCACGGCAGTGGAACCCCTGGGCCTTCTTCCATTTTACATCGTGGGATGTAAAACCGCCTTGACAAATTATCTTCCAGTCATCGATGTCGAGGAGGTTGTTGTGTGCCTCGTCGAGAAAGATAACTTCCGTGGAGCTGTCAATCATCGACTTGTTAAAGCTCTTCTGTTTGGTCACGCGAGCGATTCGGCTTAACGGCACAATTTGAAACACTGGGCTGAACAGGCTCGTTTTGCCGCTATCAGAAGCTCCGATGGCACATGGCACAGGTCGCTTATGTTCTTTATCTCTGAATAGCGCGAGGAAATCAGCACAAAACTGTTGTATTTGCCCTTCGGGTAGGCTATTGGTTAGAATTTGCTCGAAGTATTTAGGATTGGGTTCTTGGAGGCTCTCATAGTGGACATACGCTCTTGGTGATGTGATACCTCGCTGTAGAAAAGAGAAAAAAAAAAGAACTGTTAAAACATACAAACATGTAATTTATAGGTAAAAGAAGAAGTAGAAATCTTTACCCGCCAACAAACTAGGAGTAGTCCTAGATTAGGAAACTCGAAACTGAATAGCACTTGATTTGACATATTCCAAGGTTAATTATGTTGTATAGTAATAGAGAAACGACTTTTCTATTGAACAGATACATTGTCATTTTAGCCAGCAGATAAATTGTAGCCAAGAAAATTGTGATAACGGAATTAAAACAACCTTTACTGATGAAAACGTATGCTCTCACCTCTGATTCTGGGATCACTCCTTGTACAAAAGCTCCTTCAGAGAAAGACCAAAACCAGCCATTCTGCACTTCAACCAAGTTTCGATCTATGTTAAGTTGGCCAATCAGGGAACTTTCTGGCTCACTCAGAAGTGGTAGAACTGTTGGAAAATGTTAAACAAGCCTGTCTTTGAAGCACTCGTTCCCCATAAGATTTAACAGAAATGACTTCATGGAGCAAAGGAACTTGAACGTGAACTGTGATTCTGCAACTTTCTTGTACACATCTCCCCGGTAGACACTCAACTGAAGCTTTTTCATTGCGGCATGGATGTCATTACAGTACGGTGGTCCGTAAGGGACATTACATTTTTTTTTTGCTGAAGTTATCGCGCGATCATGAGTTAAAATTATCGCCCGATAAAAAAGAAAATTATCGCGCGATAAATGAGAAAATTATCGCGCGATAAATTTGCAACATATCACATGATAAAGAGAAGCCTGACTCACGCTTTCCACCCTCGTGTTTATAGCCTTTAATTCTCAGAGTTTAGCTTTTACAAGTATATCTTTGAGAGACCTTCCTCGTTTGTACGATATAATTGGGGGTTCTTTGTAGATCTATCTAAGAAGAGGTTGGTTCTCTATCAGTTGCCAGTGTTTCATAATAATGTTTTTAAGGCTAGCAACTCAAATTTCAAAGAACGCTTGATTGACAGAGGTTACCCACAAACTATGATAGAAAACCTTCTATCAGATATAAAGTTCATAGAGAGGGAGTCTGCACTCCTGAAACACAACAACAAAGAGGAAAAAGAAATATTGCCTTTTGTGACACAGTACCGGCCCTCGGTGTGGAATCTTATATAAAACCAACCGTTACTTCGCCAAATTTTTAAAGAACCACGTATCATTTCCAACAAGAAAGGAAAATCCCTGAAGGACATGCTCCTTAGAGCTAAGCTGAGCTAAAATATAAAAGGTTAACACAAGGTTTCACCTCACCCCGGTATGGATGTGCGGCCTGTCACCGCTTGCATTTTTGCATGTTAACCTTTAATTATTGCACATGCTAATCCGCCGGAGAACTTAGTCCTTTTCTGTAAATACATAACAAGAACATCACCTTTATTCCCTTCACTTAACAAAAGGGACCACTGTTGGCCAATGAAATACTTTAAACTTGAAGCTAAGAAGTAACCTGGCTTGATTCTCACAGTATAGTTTTGAAACGAGAGATACTTGATTACATATACGTATATAGCAACTGTAAATCTTAATTACTCCCCTTTTCCTTCAGGATTAAAATGCTGTAATCCTTGCTTGGAAATCTAGCTTGGCAACTCAAATGAACTCTATTAAGCTGGCTTAATTAAAAGTTAGACTATAACTCCTTCTTAGTATGATAAAGAAAGGGTCAACATCAAGATAACGCATGTATACATGCATGCAACGTTCCAGCTTCTCTCAAGTTCATGTGATATGTTGCAATTTATCGCGCGATAAACTGACTAATTATCGCGCGATAATTCAAATTTATCGCGCGATAATTTAAACTTATCGCGCGATAACTTAAGCAAAAAAAAAATTGTAATGTCCCTTACGGGCCACCGTATTACAGAGAACTGTTAGTGGGCAAGACAATGGCTTATGTGGTGTACACGGCATTTCTACGCCCGGGGTGCTGCTTTCGTTTTCATGGAGACCAAAACAATCGATTTTCAAACCAGCGCGGCGCAATTCTTGAATAGATGTAGTCATCATCGGTTTGAATTCTTCCCTAAGCACTCGCACACGAACCACATTTTCTGTCGACAACATTTCTTGAGACTGTTCGTCATCACTATATCTATTTCGCCTTGAAGGGCGCTGTCAATAAAGAATAAATAAGCAGACAAATTTACTATCTCAGAATAAATTTTTGACTAGCGCATCAAAGTTTGAGTTAACGCTCTTTTTCGTGTTGAAAATCCCTGGTGATCTAAATCGCACTTAATTAGCCACTTGCACCCTTGCATATTGTTACTTATTTGAGTCAAGACAGTTAATTACAGACATTGCTTGACTACGAGAAGATGGCAACAATAAGGGTGGACTCCTAGCTGTTGATTTCCTTTACTATAACAGTTTTACATTAAGTATACTAACCTGAGACAACGCTGATAAGAAGCCTCCACAAAATTCATCAGGCAAGGATTCTTGTGATCTTTTAAAACTTGGCAGAGTTGGTTAAGGTCGTGAGAATTTTTTTTTCCTTGATGCCCTGGAAAGATAGAATTCGAGGCCGCATTTGCCAAGAGCACGTTGAATTTTCATGGGATTAACAGCTGAACCATTTTGAGTTTGGCAGGCCACCCAATACGAAATTGCTGGGAAAACTTGCTTTCCAGGCGTTGAAATTTGCGAAGGATTTATGGCAGATTCTTCGTTCGACTCGTCGGTTTCGAGTCCTTCATCTGATGTTCTTGATTTTTTCTTTTTGCTGTCAAGCTTTGAGGTGCTTATTGCCGAAAAGAAAAAGCAAACCTCGCTCAGTTTCGACAATTCCAAATCACATTCATCTCGCTTTTCGCAGATCCAATTCCAGGCTTGTTGAATTTCTTCATCGCTTACTCTCCAAGCACACTTAAATGCCACAACATAACACGTTTTCTCAATTGCTGCTACTATGTGACACTCCACTTTATCCCTTATAACTTTGCTGTTTAGCTGCGAACAAGGCTTGCTCATCTTGACTGGCCAACGAAGTCGAGTAAAAAGCGATTTTTCAAGGCTTCTTAGCCATTCTATATCTAGCACAATGTACTGTCGCACTTTGTAACAATCGTCGCACTTTGTAATACCTGTCGCACTTTGTAATAAAATTGTCACACTTTGTAATACCTGTCGCACTTTGTAATAACACTTGCCGCACTTTGTAATAAAAAAGCTGTCGCACTTTGTAATAACAGACCATCGCACTTTGTAATAAAAAAAGCTGTCGCACTTTGTAATAACACTTGTCGCACTTTGTAATAAACTTGAAATAGATGGTCGGAGGACAAGTAAACCCAGTAATTAGTGTCATCATCGACAACAACAACAACGACAATAATAATAATAATAATAATAATAATAATAATAATAATAATAATAATAATAATAATAATAATAATAATAAAGTAAAAACTTGCAAGAGGTGACAGGCCGCACATCTTCACCGGCGTGAAACCTTTGAAAACCTTTTACATATTGCTCCATTGAGGAGAACTCTTTCAGGGATTTTACAGTTTAAAATTTCAACCATGATATAGCTTATATATAACGGACCAAGATACGGCTCGGTATAGTTTATGTTCAGCAAGGGAAAATTGTGTAAGTTGAGCAGAACCTTTAAAATGTACAACAGACAATTTGTTCAGTTCGCGCGTATTCATGTTGAATTTGTGGCCCGCTTATGAGATTTGTCTACTCAAAAATATAATAATTTTTCCATAGCTGCTGTAATCTTAGGGTATCTGCTTTTAATATCTCCGTAAAGTTTAGGTTTACGCGATCTCAGAGAACAATGTTCAGCTGTACACAGCACGTAGCCTTTAAATATATCCAGATCTAACACTGGTTTTGTGTATTTCTCAAAATGACGCCGTTTCATGTAGGCTCCAGCGTATTCGAATTTTCCACAACATTCATTAGTAGTGGTCATCGTGGCACAATGACGTGATATGCAATGTTTTAAAGAACATTTTAGTGCGAAAATAATAGTGACAATAATGATGATGATGACAATGATTGTGGTACCGGGTTGGGCTCTGAGTTTGCGATTTTCATTTGGTTTTATGAAATACAGTATAGGTTTATTCATGGTAATAAATACAAAGCAAGTAATATCTCTGTATATGTCTCAAGTAATACCTCGCAGGTAACGAAATCATAGGTTTTCTCGTTGCCTGTGCTGGTAGTAAAACTTTAAAAATATTTTATTATTATTATTGTCGTTGTTGTTGTTGTCGATGATGACACTTATTACTGGGTTTACTTGTCCTCCGACCATGTATTTCAAGTTTATTACAAAGTGCGACAAGTGTTATTACAAAGTGCGATGGTCTGTTATTACAAAGTGCGACAGCTTTTTTATTACAAAGTGCGACAAGTGTTATTACAAAGTGAGACAGTTATTACAAAGTGTGACAATTTTATTACAAAGTGCGACAGTACACACAATGCTTACGGGAATAGAACAAGTCTGTGCCATTGGCTGGATTAGCTGACTGAAAGTGCGAGCATAAATTAACCTAAGTCTGACTAAACTATTCAGTCCAAATACGCCTTACACGCGATAACCGGTATTCCCTTCACACACAGAAAACATTAGCATACTACCTGTAGAACTAAACCTTACGGTACTTGTTAAATTTATTCTTGTTTTTGGTGCCAAAAAAGAGATAAGCGTAAA